GCTAATGAGTAGACGCCACACCAAGATAAGCAGTATGACCAGAGCTTCAAATAAATAGAGCATTTAAACAATAAATGAGACAAGGATTCTTCCTCAATAAGCACAAACTGCACATGATTTCCTTCTTATTTGTGATAACTCCTCTCCTAGCCAGATTGTTTTTTGTAGGTAATCTGTAAAGTAAGGATCTCCATCCCAATGCTACAACTTTTAAGGGCACCAATCCATTCCAAATTTGATTAAAATAATCTGACTTCTAGCCTAGTCAAGATTGGGTGATTTGATTATAGGCAGACTTAGACATGTATCTTCCACTGTTCTCCCATTTCCATACCCAGCAATCCTCGTCCTTGTTGCAAAAGTACTTGGGAGCTCTTCTAGTTCCTGCAAGAGATTAGTTTACCAAACAAATAAAGTCCTACCCCAATCCCACCCCTAGTCTCCCTTATCCTTCCCCCTCCTGCCTACCTCAGCTATCATGGATTGTTTATTAGTAGCCAAAGAAAATAATCTTGGAAACTTCTTTAAACTCACACTTCCTATCCACAGATCTTCGAAAAACAATGTCTCCTCGCCTTCCCTTACCATTCTTACAAAATTATCCTTTAACCACTCATTATTTAAACTATCTAGCCTCTCCAATTTCCACAACCCTTTCCACCACACAAACCCCCCCTCATTTTGTATACACCCTTCCCAACCCCTTTCCCTAGTAGACCCATAAAGCTCAAACATAACTCCTCCATAATGCTTCTTTCTCCCTCATAACTCTCCATTTCCACTTTCCTAATAAGGCTTTATTAAAACACTCAAGACACACCTAACCCTCCCTCTGATTTTTTTCCTACATACTACCTCCCATTTTATCCATGCAATCTTCTTCTAACCTTTCCCCCCCACCACAAAAAATTACATTAAAGGTTGGTGAGGATTTTAATTACATTTTTTGGGGCTTTGTATATTGAGAAGAAATACACCGGTAGGCAGGATAAAATGGCATTGAGAAGGACAATTCTTCCACAAAAAGATAATGCAGCTTTCTTCTAACTATCCAGTCTCCATGTACAATTGATCACCAGACGCCATGTAGAGATTCTATTTGGATTTGCTCCTATAGTTTACTCCCGAGTATTTAAATGGAATGCTTCCCACAAAACAGTGCATAATTGATTCCAACTCTTCAATTGTGTTATTGTCTACATTTAATCCACATAGCCAACTCTTATCATGGTTCACCTTAAGACTAGAAATTAACTCAAAACATCTTATTACCCACATTTCATTGCCCATGCATTCGCCTATGTTGCCTCGCTAACTAGGATGATATCATCCACAAACTATAAGTGAGATATGCCCAACTCTCCATTACCTACCTGTACTGCTTTTAAGATTCCAATCTCCTCAACTTTCCTTATTAAACCGCTTAAAGCCTTTGCCACAATAAAAAACAAAAGCGATGAGAGAAGATCAGTTTGCCTTAATCCCTTTCCAATGTTAAATTCTTCCGTTGGGCTACTATTAATGAGCATTCAGACTGTTGCTGTTGACAAACATTCCTTTATCCAACCCTTTCATCCTAAGCAAAACCCCATTATTTTCAGCATGAAGTCTAGAAATTCCCAATCCACACTATCATATACCTTTTCAAAATCAGCCTTAAAGATTAGTCCTACCTTATTTCTCCTCTTCATATAATATATTACTTCACTTAAAATGATAATGCCATAAGCTATTTGCCTACTCGCCACAAATACAGAATGATTTTTGCTAATTATGCTATTGATTACCTTTGCAATCTATTGGCCAGTAGCTGTGAAATGATTTTGTACATGCACCCAATCAAAGAGATAGGCGGACAATCATTTATACCTTGCAGATTTGACTTCTTGGGAATCAGTACAATGAAAGAAGCTTTACAACCTCTGACCAGCTTCCCACTCCAGTGAAATTCTCTGATGAAGCCAAAAATATCCTCTTCCAATGCATTCCACATTCACTTGATGAAGTTAAAATTAAAGCCATATGGGCAAGGGCTTTTATCAGCTCCTTAGCTCCACACTACTCCCTTTATCTCCTCTATTGGAAATTCCGTCATTAGCATAGAATTATCCTTATCACTCATCTTCTTGAACTTGATACCTTCCACTACTAGTCTACCCCAACTGTCTTCTTTGAATTTTTCACTGAAAAACTCCTTTACAGTCGCCTTAACTTCCTAGACTCCATCAACCCATCTACCATTCTAAGCTATTCTAGTCAAGCTATTCTAGTCAAGCTATTTTGGTTTCTCCTTCAAAGCTAACAAGAATGGAAGTACCTGTTGTTTGTATCGCCCTCCTTCAACCATTTTTGCCTCGCTTTTTGATGCAACAGGTTATTCCTTTTATCTATCATTCTTGTAACTATTTAGAACTGTCTACCCTCTTGTTCTTTTCTTCTTCATTAATGCTCCCCAAATCATCCTTCTCATGAATCACACTAATCTCCTCCTTTGCTTTCTCAATCTTGTTCTCAATTATTCCAAAAATCTCCTTATTCCATACTTTCAGTTCTTTCTTCAACATTTTTAGCTTCTTTTTTAAGTCTAAAGCCACCCCATCCCCTTACATCAAAACTGTTCCATCTTTCGTTCACAAACACTTCAAAATCTTAATGTGCTAACCAACTATCAATGGTTTTAAAAGGCTTCAGACCCCAATCTTCAAACACAGATTAGAGAACTATTGCGCAATGGTCAGATAAGGATCTACACAATCCCCATTGAACTACGTTATGAAAATTCTAAAAGAAACTATTTGACAATAAGAATCTATCCAATCTACTTGTTGCCTGGCCATCACTCCTATACCATGTATACTTCCTACCGTTCAATGGTATATCTGCCAAACCACTACCATAAATAAAAGTGTTAAAATTAGACATACTCCCCTAGTCCATGTATTGCCTGCTTTTCTTCCACACTCCTAATTGCATTAAAATTCCCTCCAATGCACCATAATCTATCCCCATAGTTCTTTAGCACCCCCTGTAATTCTGTCCACACATATTTCCTCTCCTGTCGATTGTGAGGTGCATACAAATTAATGAACACACAGGGTGCCTCCTCACTCCCCTACAAACCCTTGAATCCATAGAAACCAAAGCCTTCAAACTTATTCTAGACCTTGATACTATTCTGATTCCACAAAACATAAGATGCCTCCTGAATTCCCGATAGCTAATTTCACTGTCTAGTCAAACTCACCAGACCCCCAAATTGTTTTGCCTAGCCTTTCTTCAAATGAGTTCAATTTTGTTTCTTGAATAAACACCACATCATACTTCTCCTTTGCAGTCATTTACTCATTTCCCTCACTCTCCTTTTCCCACTTCCTTCTAACCCCCTAACATTGTAAGAGAGAGTTTTTATTTTAATGCTTCCATCCCCGCTTTCTTTGCTCTAACTTTCTGTTTTTGTTTTGCTAGAACAATTCTTGTCCCTCGTTTCCGTTTCATCTAACCTCTTGCTTATTTCCCCTTCATTGCACCTCCTGACGAGGCCCAACTTTTTCCCCACTGCCGAAAGCTCACTCGCTTCTTCTTCCCACAATCTCACCATAAACCTTTGATTACAGTTAATGATACCACCTGTTGAAATGGTGTTGTCTCTTAAGGAGAGTTCTTCTTCCTGCTCTATCCGAGAGACACCTCCATTGGCTCTATCTGGGTTTGACCTCTTGCATCTAGCCACTGTCATTTCTTTCCTACCCCTCACCTTTTTGCTTCGAGCTCCTCTACTCTTCTTCAACTTTCTCTTTAGCTTTTCCTCTGATCTCACCTGCAAGAGTTCATCTTCACTTGCTAGGCCTGCCCAAAAATCACGTGATTCCTTTCTATAATCTTCACTTCGATTCCCTTGATTTGCATCTATTGCTGTCCCCTTGTTTTCCCATTTTTCCTTCTCCTAGTTTTCCACAAAGTTCTCCTTGATTAACATGGCCATGAACCTCCACTAGATCCACAATACCTTTAATGCACCGTCCTGGGCTATACGAGTTAATATTATTTGGCCCACTAGAATTAAATACTCATTAGTTGTTTAAAAATTCATCTGCAGCTTTTACTGAATATACTCCATTAGTATCATTCCCCCACCAAAAGTTGTCCTCCCTTGCCAAAATCAACCTAGCCCCCAGGTAAACTTATTAAATCCTTTTCTTCGTTCAACTCCTTCCCTGGCCTCCCACTCCTCCATGGTACCTTCCACACCCAGACCTCATCCACCAATTCACCCATTTCCTCAACTGTTCCATTTTTTGTTGGTAGCCAAAGCAAATAACCTTGGGAAAATATCCTTTAAAGGTCCATTTCCCAGCCATTTTTTACTATATTTCTATTTAATCCAATTTAATTAGATTGAAAAAATGTCAAACCAATCCAATCCGAGTAATATACTACAACCAGACCAATCCAATTATTATTGGATTAGATTGGTTCAGACTAGATTAATTGGTTTTGTCCCAGAGAAATTTTTTTTTTCTGGGAGTTTGATTATACTGCCCTTCTTTTTGTTAATTTTAATTATACAAAAATAGAAGTAAAACCAAACAAATTTGTAATAGATGAAAATATTTTATGACACAATTTTAGGGTTGGGATGAATAACTGTTCAGAATATAAGAATTGGGAATAATCTTTTTTCCTTAAATAATTCTTTCAATATTAGTTGAATTGGATGATTATAAAGTAAGATCACAAACCAAATCGATTTAATTGGGTTATATTTTTTATCCTAATTGATCCAATTAAATAACGGTTTTAATAGGTTTTCAATTGGAATGATTTCGATATGAATACCTCTAAAGTTAAGGGATAAATAAAATAGTGAGATTGATGATCAAATTGTAGAACTCTAAAATCTAAAAATTAAACTGAAAAATTCTAGAAAGTTGAGGACCAACATTGTTGTTTTACCATATAGAAAAGAGACATGGACATATTTCTAACTATTGGTGAGGGTGCACGCACTCTTCTCTTGTCTTCTCTTTTTTTATTTATAATAGAAAATAAATTGTAATTCTACTGCTATACAATTAGGAAGATATTAATAAAAAGGTCAAGCCAAATTCTATAATAAAAAAGCATAATAAAAATTAATAAAAAAAATAAATGTATTGTCATACTTATTAATATATATAGAAATTATTTGTCAGCTAAATTGTTAAAAAATTAGGAAAAAAAAACCTCGAAATCATATTATTTCAATAAATTCTTATTAAAAAAACTACAATAACTTATTTTTAAACCATGAGTGAGTTTGATACTTTGTTTTAGTCTTTTCTCATAGTACTTTAATAAAATGACATAGTTTTGAACTATTATTCTTCTTAAATTTTTTGAAACCTAGCTGAGAAACACTAATATCATGATTTGAACCACTCTTTAGTATGTATTTTTTAAAAAGGCCCTGTTAGGCATTTATTGAGTATTATTTTAAACCCCATTGGGTATTTCAATATTTGTTCAAAAATTTTAAGGGAAATTTTATTATTACAACAATTTTATATGGGGTTAGTACTTATCTACCTTAGTTTTTAAAAAATTATGTGTAAAATCATCATAAAATAACGTCATTTTAATAACATATCGAAAGAAAAATTTTTAAAAAGTCTAATTCATACTTTAAAAATTAAGTATTTTAGTTTTTTTAATAAAAATTTAATGATGTATGGTTAAGATTATTATTATTATTATTATATATATTTTTAAATGGAGCCCTATATAATATTTCAACACCCCAAGTTATTGCAAACGAAAATTTTTAAAAAACAAACTCCCAAAAAAATATTTTCCACTTAAATACTTAAGTAATTTTTAGATTTACTTCCCCGAAGTTATAAATTAGTAGCATTATCAAACTCTCTTGCAAGTTAGTTAGATGTATTAATTTGTCTTTTAAAATAAGGAAAAAATTATTATTAAAAATAAATTATAATATAAAATATATAAAAAATTAATGTGACATTAAATAATTATTTAAAGATTAAAAGAAAAATTATTTTAAAATTATGCCAAAGTTATAAATTAGTAGCATTATATATCAAACTCTCTTGCAAGTTATTTAGATATATCTATTTGTCTTTTAAAATAAGGAAAAAATTATTAT